AATAACATATAGGAATTTTAAATACTAAGTAAGTAACTAAGCCTATAGATATTAAGTTTCTCAAATGAGTTTTTTTTTTTTTCGCTCACTACTCATCGGCGTCCTGAATTTCTGCCCCACTTTCCCATACAAATGACAGTATTAATGGCTTCAGTCGCATAGTTAGTAGAGTGCGCAGTGGGACCAAGATTTTTTTTGCATTTCTTTCCACGATACAAACTCTGAAGTTGTTTGAAAGAGCCATCTCTCCATATAAAGACAAAAAAAAAAAAAAAAAAAAAANTGTGTGAAAGAAACAATGGTCACTTTATTTACATAAGTTAGCATCAACGCATGGCACAAACGCTTACAAATAGCTGTTGAGAAGCAGGGGGACACATTGAGCATGTTTTCTGATTAGCGTAAAAGGCCTACTTGGAAAAAAAAAGAAAAAAAAAAAAAAAAAAAGAAAAAAAAATTAAAATAAAATAAATGACAAAGCATTTTTAAAATTCAAATGATCTCTTATTGTGCTTGTGGTGTGACTGCTTCCATATCCAGACAGCGCGCAAAATAAAATTCCAGATAAATACGCTAAATAATACATTAAAAAAAACGCAAATACGTCTGATGCGTAATATTTTATTTTATTTCGGAAATCGTCTCAATTTAAATATGGTGTAATAAATATTCGGTTTAAACGTGATTAGGACATCAGAATATTAATATATTTCATGGGCGTGACATAAAACGTATGCAATGGCGTATAACGGGAGAGGGGGGGGGAGGGTCATGTTTTATCAAGTAAATTTAGTAGATGGGAAGTTCACGCATTGCTGTCGCCAAATGTTTGGCGAGCTATAACCACAGAGCTCTATGTCCATGGCTATAACTAGTATTAAATAACAATTTGCTACGAGATGTTCTCACTATTTTTAGGGCCACCCTGTATTAACAACTACTTAAAAACATCAACTGTGAATTCTTAATTTTTTTTTAGCCATTCTGTTGATTTGAGCCACATGTGACGATTGTCCAACCAAGTGTCATCGATTTTGGTGTTTGTTTTACATTTGTTTGTTTAACAATCCGTCTATCAGTCTGCGTGTTTAGGCCTATTTGTTTCGTTTACAGGGTCCAATCTTGTCATATTTTTAACCGACTATGATTTTCTTGACACTGGGCACGCGTGTGGATTTTATGTTGTTTTGATAATAGTATGCCGTATCTTGTACATTTTGGCACGCGGCAGCCATCCATTCGTATCACACCCCGACTCACCCACCCCCCTCCTTTTTCATTTGCTTGTTTGTTGACCGAGGCTCAATCGACGTTTTTGCTCGGCCAGGTTGGCCACAAGCTAAGAATCTCTTTCCGTCGGAAACAATGATTGGATGTAAGCTTGTCCTCCAAACATAATATGAAGTCAAAATATCTATCTCCAGTCCAAAAAATCCATCGAAGTAAACAAATGGAAGGTACAAACAATTAATTGAATTTTTAAAGCCCTCTACAGTCTACAAAATTTTAATATTAAACTGGCCCAGCATAAAAAACAACTTTTTTGTGTGTATTAAAATGGCCCAACAAGCATTTTGAAAGAACTATTTTTCTGCTATCTACCCTTTTTGGGGTCTATTTTCAAAATATAGAATCACGAGTCACCAATACATTACAAAAAAAAAATTACCTCAATGGATCTGACAAAGATATATATTTTATAGTTGTGCAGTAGAAAGTGGTCAGACATCTCAGTCGTAGATGAGGTCGATAATACGATAATCTTAGGCAATAAGTAGGGAGAAAAATGTTGGTAAATAATTCCACCTCCCCAACCCCCCCCCCCTTTTCCCCCACCATTTAAACGAATTTTTAAAAATGCAAATGACTCTCGGACGGGCCCATAAGGAAATGTTCTTTCTAAACACTGGAACTATGACTTTATGTATAAATTAACAAAAAAACAAACAAAACAATTCTATTTGTCTGCGTTCACTAACAGAAAAAAAAAAAACGTACACAACACAGGGGAATTTTGTTTGTGCTAAATCTGATAACAGAGTGCTCACTCTTAGTTTTTTTTTAAAAGGGTGGGGAGGGGGGACGGGAGATAACTTTCTCAGTATACAATCATTATTATTACGGTCTGCTCCCCTGTTTGGTTTAAGAACGGGGTTAAAAAACTACAACAACAACCACCAGCCGCCGACAAACCGAGTTAACACCGTTGTCAATCTCCCAGCGTTGCAAGAATGAGCTGTCCGTTGGTGGGAAGTAACCCTGTCATAAAAAGAGATTGGCCTAAAAGCCGAAGACTGGCAGATCTCGCTTGACCCACACAAATAGAATGCAAACATTATGGCTTTTTTTTTCACTTCCGTTTTTTTTTTTGATTCCCGTTTTTTTTATGATGATATTTATTCGCGCGCTTCCTTTACAACTTTGGATTGGTTTATTCCCTGACGTAAGGATGTCCCTGTCTATGAATGATCTTACAGTGCACGGTGATAAATTTTCATGGAGCTCTGATCCATTCATACGCCATTTATTACTATTAGCAGTAAAACAGGAAGAGGGAAGGGGAAAAAAAAATCATGCGCCCCCCCCACCTCAAAAAAAAAAAAAAAAATTCTTGATAAATTTTCATGGAGCTCTGATCCATTCATACGCCATTTATTACTATTAGCAGTAAAACAGGAAGAGGGAAGGGGAAAAAAAAATCATGCGCCCCCCCCACCTCAAAAAAAAAAAAAAATTCCAGCTTTTTACAAATGTATAAATCCTGAATACGCAACAGTGCGTGACGTGGGCGGGCCTGAAATTTATAACCAATCGTAATGGAGTCGTAGAGCACACGCACTTCCGGTCTAAGGAAGGTAAGGGATGCTCAAATCTTAAATTGACCATTGACGCTGCATTCATCTGTGATTTAAACACCCCGACATTTATTACCATCATCAACGAAAGTTTTTCAACCAGCTAAACTATTTTGATAATTTTATTACTCGTTCAGTGGTTCTCACCGAAAGTAAAATCGACACAAACGCTTTATGAAGTTGTATTTATGTTAAGATGAACACATTAACGCAGGCCTGCATACGGCCCGCTAGCAGCCACTTCGCGGCCCGTGGAGTACCGAAATATTCTTTATTATTATTATTTTCTTCATAGCGTTCCCAACTGTCCTATTATCTTTCGGCCCGCACAAGTTTTTCATAAAGTATTACGGCCCACCTGACATTTTGAGTTGTGCAGTCTTGCTGTAAAGTAATTATCTTTGTTTTTGTTAATATAAATAAGAATGATCTATTTTAGTCCTTTAAAAAATAAAAAAATAAATCATAATTCCCTTTGTCTCATCTAGCCAGGCACATTTCTATTTTTTCAATAGCTGCTCAGAATTTAATCTATTTGCTTGTTTATATTAAAATAAATAAATTATTTGCTTATCGGTAGATCTACATATAAAATAATCTAGGTATTTATTTTGTCATTTAACATTGGAAATCTGTCTTTGATTGCTATTTGTTATACAGCAATGATTCGTGCAGTTCCGTTTCGGGAAACATTTTCATTGGAAGTTAATGAATTGGCATTTACGATTTTTTCTCACAGATCTGTGAAATCTTTGAAAACCCTGCAGAAGTATTTTTATAAGTTTTCATGCTTTTAACTGTAAAATCGATATGAACAAAATATGTGGATGAAAATTATTTTTTTAGGGGTGGGGTGGGGTAAAGACATACAATACAAGAAATCAGTTAATAAAATTCCATCGCAAAAATTTAGTTTTCTTATGGAAACGTAAAATGTTAACTTAAATTCAACATCAAAATGTTAACATTGTCTGCAAATGTTCATAGAAAATGGATACTGTAATGAACATGGGCGGTGACGAAGGCTCCATGGCAACACGTTAGTGAGTAGCCAATCACAAGGCAGGCTACCAGGTTTAACTTGTTGTAGGTTTTTTGTTGTTGTTTGTTTAGCTCGGATGCCTTGTATGCTTGTGACTAGGGTATGCTTAACAACCCCCCCCCACCCCGCATCTCAGTTGAACAAACGAGTTTCTCCGCACGTCTTTATGCAATTTTAACCTTCTTGAATATCTGTACCCTCTCTGTGCAGCACGCACAGTACATGTTTTCATTACTTTGATTGAGTTGTTCTTTCGACGTATGACTTATGGTATGAAGTTGACTTAGTTTACATAATTGACCTAGGTTACATAGTCTACTTGGGTGATCTAGTTCACACAGTTGACCTAATTTACAAAGTTGACCTAGTTTACAGAGATGCCCTAGTTTACCTTCCTGACTACGACAAAGAAATGCCAGTAATAAAGTTTATAGCAGTGGTTCTCAACCTTTCTAATGCCGCGACCCTTTAATACATTTCCCCATGTTGTGGCGACCCCCCGAAACACAAAATTATTTTCGTTAATACTTTATAACTGTGGAGTATATGTGTTTCCAGATGGTCTTAGGCGACCCCGGTGATAGGATCGTGCGACCCCAAATGGGTCGCGACCAACAGGTAGAGAGCCACTGGTTTATTAGTGACATTCGTTACTTAGTTTTTACCTTTATGTGAGCGCAAACTGAAAACGGCCAATCAATCAGTTTAATGTAGGGGGTTACATTAGTAGACCGTATTGTGACAATCAGTTCAATGTAGGGGGTTACATTAGTGTACCGTATTGTGACAATCAGTTTAATGTAGGGGGTTACATTAGTGTACCGTATTGTGACAATCAGTTTAATGTAGGGGGTTACATTAGTGTACCGTATTGTAAATGTGCTGGTGTATTACGTCAACATTTTTATTTTGGTGTATTTTTATTAAAAAAAAAATGGAAAAAAAAGGGTACCAAGCATTCACGATTCCGCCAAGCAGCGACAGCGACGGGTTCTGGAATCGAATCTCGTGTGAATAGTCCAGGTCTTCCTGTACATTCAATGGATTGATGTCCTTTCATATGGATTTGAAACAAAACAAACAACAAAACCTTACAGTTTTATCCAAAATATGTAATCCTCCTAACTTTATTTATGAGCAAACACTTCTATCTGAATTTATTTAGAAACTTTTAAAATTATAACGGTAACCAGAATAAACAGTTTAAGAAAAAAATAATTAAAAATGTATACCCAGGCTTTAGGAACCGAAACATTTCAATCGTATAGGTTTGAAAGAAATTTCGTCAACTGATTGACGGAAGTTTGATCGAACGGAAATTTGATCGAATTCTATTTTCAGTTCACACGATCAAATTTGGCGTCAAATTTCTTCTTTGAACGCTTTATTTTGTTTTTTTGTAATGTAGTGCGTTCAGAAAGAAGTTTGACTCAAAATTTGATCGTGTGGACTGAAAACAAAAAACGAATTTCAATTGGCCACAGTTCTGACAGTCAATCCCACCAAACGGATCCTTGAACAGACACCCCGCTTGTTACTGTTATCATGATTTTATTTCCAGGCAGATATTTTTTTTAAAAAAGATCTAAATGAAATTATTCAAAGATGGAATATGTACAGACACTCACCAAAGAGCTGCGTAACAAATCATTGAAATAGCTGACATTTAATAATTTAAATTAAAAAAAATTAATTTATTCAAAGATTTTAAAAATATAACATTGAAATTAAAAACCGACGTTTACAGGGCAGACTTTTGTTAAGACTTGGGATAATGGAAAAAAAATGGTTGCATGAAGTGGTTCCAGGGAGTTAGTTAGGCTCCTGAGTGTCCATCGAGGAGTGGGCCATGGTTGTGTCTTTCCCAGAGGAGTGGGCCATGGTTGTGTCTTTCCCAGAGGAGTGGGCCATGGCTGTGTCCTTCCTCAAGGAGTGGGCCATGGTTGTGTCCTTCCTCGAGGAGTGGGCCATGATTGTGTCCTTCCTCTAGAAGTGGGCCATGGTTGTGTCCTTCCTCAAGGAGTGGGCCATGGTTGTGTCCTTCCTCGAGCAGTGGGCCATGATTGTGTCCTTCCTCAAGGAGTGGGCCATGGTTGTGTCCTTCCTCGAGGAGTGGGCCATGGTTGTGTCCTTCCTCGAGGAGTGGGCCATGATTGTGTCCTTCCTCGAGAAGTGGGCCATGGTTGTGTCCTTCCTCGAGGAGTGGGCCATGGTTGTGTCCTTCCTCGAGCAGTGGGCCATGATTGTGTCCTTCCTCAAGGAGTGGGCCATGGTTGTGTCCTTCCTCGAGGAGTGGGCCATGATTGTGTCCTTCCTCTAGAAGTGGGCCATGGTTGTGTCCTTCCTCAAGGAGTGGGCGATGGTTGTGTCCTTCCTCGAGCAGTGGGCCATGATTGTGTCCTTCCTCAAGGAGTGGGCCATGGTTGTGTCCTTCCTCGAGGAGTGGGTCATGGTTGTGTCCTTCCTCGAGGAGTGTGCCATGGTTATGTCCTTCCTCGAGGAGTGGGCCATGGTTGTGTCCTTCCTCGAGGAGTGGGCCATGGTTGTGTCCTTCCTCGAGGAGTGGGCCATGGTTGTGTCCTTCCTCGAGGAGTGGGCAATGGTTGTGTCCTTCCTAGAGGAGTCGGCCATGGTTGTGTCCTTCCTCGAGGAGTGGGCCATGGTTGTGTCCTTCTTGAGGAGTGGGCCATGGTTGTGTCCTTCCTTGAGGAATGGGCCATGGTTGGGTCCTTCCTCAGAAGTGGGCCGTAGGGGGGGGTGCCCCGAGTGGGATGTGGGGTTGTCCACGAGGTTTCTCTTGGTCGGTAGACTATGAGTGCATACCATCATTATTCAAATTTTTAAATTATGTTTTTACAGTACAGGGAGACAATAGCGTATGTTTTAAACTAGGTCGTCTGCAGTAAAATAAATGTACCGCTTTTGTCTGCCCCTTCTACTACTTGAACCAACCAATGAGCTTCAAGGACACACTTTCGCACCACGTGAGCCAATGGCTGACGAGGACAGTGAGCACATCTTGTGCGAGCGGCGTGTGCAGGCACCTAAAGCCTTTCAGTATGACGTCATTTGATAACAAATTTTAGCCTTTTGATTTAAAAAAAAATGTATCAGTTTTATGTGTATCAATAATAAAGACATGCAAAAGTCATAATTTATCAAGTATTTTATAAAATACGGCTGTGTGCACCCCGGGCAAGCTTAACCTTTGCGCCCATTTTAAGTATAATCATAAAAATGTTTGCAAGGAAAAAAACCTAGGGATTAGGTAATGAGTTTATTAAATAGTTGAAAAAAACACCACAAAAAACAATGAACAGTAAAATTGTTTTTCCTAACTTGTATTTGGCCAGGTTGAACAATAAGCCTACCGATGCCATTTTGTTTCCTAGCCTTTAGATCAGCGAATCTTTTCATTGCACTTTCTATTGTTCTTCCATTGCGCCCACATCCAATGCTTTTTTCCTATTTTGGTAAATCGTTGATGGTGTCCTATGCACAGGGCGCCCCGGGCAACTCCCCAAATTCCCGATACCTTGAGCCGACCCTGATTTTCATTGAGGTCAGCAACCTGTTCCGAATAATGAAATTTGCCAGCTGTGCTGTAACTATTTGGCCAACAAATATCCCCCAACCCCCACATGGGGCCGTTTGGGGTGTTTGAGACCCCCCTCATGCAAAACCTCCATTGGTAAACATCAGGTGTAGAAATAGACAAATCATCCATCCATCATTCCTTCCACTCAGCCAAATGGAAACTTGAAATTGTCCATGTAGAAAAAAATCTCATTAAAAAATACATTGCTACATTCACACACCCAAAATAAAAAATGTTCAGAGGTCAACTTAGGTTTAAGTCTGCAGTCGCTGACAGGATTTTGACTAGGCGTTTCAGTACATTATCGTGTACCGACACGTCAAGTCATTGTAAATGTCAAACGTGCCAAAAAGTAATGTAACACCCAGTCAATTCTTGGAAAAGGTATAGCGTCAAAGCACGTGCTATTACGTCACTGGAATGATATTTTAACATTTCCGGTGAATTGCGTCAGCGGTTTATGAAGCAGCGAGTCAAAATTACAATGACAGTGTTCTGGCTGCGGCCAAGGCAAGGTCCCCACGCCGACCAAGGCAAGGTCCGAAAGCCGGCCAAGGCGAAGTCCGAAAGCCGGCCAAGGCGAAGTCCGAAAGCCGGCCAAGGCAAGGTCCGCACGCCGGCCAAGGCAAGGTCCGCACGCAGGCCAAGGCGAGGTCCGAAAGCCAGCCAAGGCAAGGTCCACACTCAGGCCAATTACGAGATATAAACGGTATACATCGCGAGATATAAACGGTGAAACTTTACGAGATATAAACGGTATACATCGCGAGATATAAACGGTGAAACTTTACGAGATATAAACGGTATACATCNCCAAGGCGAGGTCCGAAAGCCGGCCAAGGCGAGGTCCGCACTCAGGCCAATGCAAGGTCCGCACTCAGACCAAGGCAAGGTCCGCACTCAGGCCAAGGCGAGGTCCGCACTCAGGCCAAGGCAAGGTCCGCACGCAGGCCAAGGCAAGGTCCACACTCAGGCCAAGGCGAAGTCCGAAGGCCGGCCAAGGCTAGGTCCGCACTCAGGCCAAGACAAGGTCCGCACTCAGGCCAAGGCGAGGTCCGCACTCAGGTCAAGGCGAGGTCCGCACTCAGGCCAAGGCGAGGTCCACACTTAGGCCAAGGTGAGGTCCGCACGCAGGCCAAGGCAAGGTCCGAAAGCCGGCCAAGGCGACGTCTGAAAGCCGGTTAAGGCGAGGTCCACACTTAGGCCAAGGTGAGGTCCACACTTAGGCCAAGGTGAGGTCCACACGCAGGCCAAGGCAAGGTTCGAAAGCCGGCTTAGGCGAGGTCCACACTTAGGCCAAGGTGAGGTCCACACTTAGGCCAAGGTGAGGTCCACACTCAGGCCAAGGTGAGGTCCGCACGCGGGCTAAGGATGTGACTTGCACACCTCCACGTCAAGTGTGTGAATCGGGATAGCACCCGCCCCCCCCCTCCCCTCCCGAGATTTAGAGAGAAACAAAAATCACTATTATTGCAACATAAGCGGCAGGAAACAAAGTTAAGATTGCAGTGGCTCAAGTTGATGAGATATTGTTACGTCACAGTTGCAGAGAGTCAAAACTGTCACGTGTGGTTTAAGCTTTCTGACACAGAGCCAGGGATCCGTGCACACATGTGATCTAGGTGCCCGTACCTGCGGATCACTTGTGGGTCACATGAGCCATACAATGCCCGTGGGTGACCAAGGTGACCACGATCCATGGAATGACCCTAGCGGTATTGACGTTTATAAAAAAAAATGTTTGACCACAAAATGCTAAACCGGTCATTGTAGTAGTACGGAGCAGTGCTGCCCCAATAAATATAGGTAATCAGATGCTAGTGATCAGGTGCTGGTCATCTTATTGCGTCATCAGATTGTGGTCATCTTATTGCGTCATCAGATTGTGGTCATCTTATTGCGTCATCAGATTGTGGTCATCTTATTGCGTCATCAGATTGTGGTCATCTTATTGCGTCATTAGATTATGGTCATCGGATGGTGGACATCAGATTGTGGTCATCAGGTTGTGGTAATAAAATTGGGTAAACAGGTGGTGGTCCTCAGATTGTGGTCATCAGATGGTGGTCATTGGATGCTAGTCATCAGATGGTGTCCTAAGATGGTGTCAATCAGATGTTCACATGAAAACCGACATTGACATGCGATGAACTAGCTTACAAAAAATCCTGTCCATGATTCATTTACAGTGATTCACCCGACCTGGCTGTAATACATTTACATTAATTCATCCAAAACAGGTCAAGCTGACCTCAAATGAAAAACTCTGGTCGACCTGGAGGCTTTCCTTCAGCATCCTGCGACGAGTCTATTTTTACAGACGCCAGAAATGTTTGTTTTGTTTCCCATACGTGATTGCAAGAGCTTTGAAACTTTTAAGCTCCAGCGCATGTTACTGAGGGTTGGCCCCTGTGACAACCGTCTGCCCATAACAAACTTCTGACAAGCTGAGCCCCATCGTACCATGCCACTTTATAAGGTCGTCACCCGACCCTTGTAAAAGAAAATTTTAATATTTTTATCTTTGAAAAAAAAATCGATCAAGTATTTTTTCTGAAGAAGTTCGACTATAATTTGGCCAGTAGTTTTTGTTTTGATTTTTGCAGTCAAGTATTGAGATAATAGATGTCCAAGTTTTAGCTCTTATTTCCTTTGTAACTGATGTTTTACATCATATTTTGAAAAAAAAATTCTATATCACTGTAAGCTCTGCGTGCATCCTATACAATGTCTGGACACTGAGAGTATAATGAATGAAAGAGACAATGGCTTGTGTGTTGCACCGTATCTCTTGTCATATCGGCACCAGGAACTCTGTTTATATTATTGGCATCTGAATCACACTGTTATTTTTCATCTGCATGAGTCAAACGATAAAGATTGGATTACATTATTCACACGATTCTGGAAAGACATTGAACTCTCAAGGCCACACGAGAGATCTCAAGGGCACACGAGAACTCTCAAGGGCACACGAGTAGTCTCGCGAGTGCACTTATTACGACGAAGGCCGTCCATGGGAGCACCGGGTGACCCGCGACCGGAAGTGACGCCGCGTTGCAGTAGGACGTGTCACAGAAGCAGTACGTGAGGGTCAAGCTTCCGGTCTCGTCGTAGGTGTCATGGCAACCGTTAGTTTCGTTCTGGTCAGACAGGTCACCGAGCTTGTAGCAGGCCCGTATCACACCCACCCAGCCACCTGTAAGGGATAAAAAACGGGAACGTAGTGAGGAACGTACGGGTAAGGGAACAATGACTGACATTAGTGATGAACAATACGACCAATGGAACAATGACTGACATTAGTGATGAACAATACGGCCAATGGAACAATGACTGACATTAGTGAGGAACAATACGGACAATGGAACAATGACTGACATTAGTGAGGAACAATACGGACAATGGAACAATGACTGACATTAGTGAGGAACAATACGGACAATGGAACAATGACTGACATTAGTGAGGAACAATACGGACAATGGAACAATGACTGACATTAGTGAGGAACAATACGGACAATGGAACAATGACTGACATTAGTGATGAACAATACGACCAATGGAACAATGACTGACATTAGTGATGAACAATACGGCCAATGGAACAATGACTGACATTAGTGATGAACAATACGGCCAATGGAACAATGACTGACATTAGTGAGGAACAATACGGACAATGGAACAATGACTGACATTAGTGAGGAACAATACGGACATTAAATTAAATTAGTGAGGAAAATACGGTCAACGGAACAATGAGTGACATTAGTGAGGAAAAATACGGCCAATAGAATAATTACTGAAATTAGTGAGGAAAAAATACGGACATTGACTTAAATTAGTGAGGAAAAATACGGGCAAATAGATCAATGACTGACATTAGTGAGAAAAATTCGGACAATGGAACAATAACTGAATTAGTGAGAAATATAATGAACGAACAAGGAAACAGGTGGTTGAGTTGGTGATGAACATACGGGCAAAGGGACAGTGGCGAAATCAGTGAGGAACATAAGGTCATGGGAACAAATACTCAAGTAATGAGAAATATGCTCCAGCGAGAATCAAAAAAAAAAAAAAAATTGGACTAGCGCCATCTATAAGCATATCGCCTGTTTCAGCATCCTGAAATGACGCCATACCTGGAGGGGGTACCGTGGGGGGAGAGGGTGGGTAAATATTAAGATGTGTTGTTGTTGTGTAACTAATATAAAAAATACTAAAGAAATGAGAAATATGCTCCAGCGAAAAAAAAAAAAAAAAAAAAAATTGGACTAGCGCCATCTATAAGCATATCGCCTGTTTCAGCATCCTGAAATGACGCCATACCTGGAGGGGGTACCGTGGGGGGAGAGGGTGGGTAAATATTAAGATTTGTTGTTGTTGTGTAACTAATACTTCTCATAACAGAGACGTCTGATGTGGAGGATATTCAATCCATCTACCCTAAAGGGGGGGGGGGCGGGCAGAGGCCGAGCCGACAGAGTGAATCACTTTGGAGCAAAGCCTCTGACACCAAATACTGCAAGAAATTAGTGCTATCAAAATATTTCAGAATTTAAATTGGGTGAAATTTAAAAAAAAAAAAAAAAATATATAATTTTTGGTTGTTGAAATGTGACAATTGTATTGCGTATTTTTGGGGGGTTCAGATCCAGTAACGGCTGAATCAGCAGAGAGGTCATTTAGCAAGCCCAAGTGGATGAACAAGTTTGCGAGATAATCTAATGCACAAGAGAGACCCAGTGATCTGGCTTCATTAAGCATTGAGTCTCTTTTGGAGCGGAAGTTCGACTTTTTTTTTTCTTCTTCAAATACCATTGATGAGTTTGCAGAAACGAAGGACAAAATGAGCTCTTCTGTAATCTTTTTAATAAAGTATTTTTAGCAGTGTCTAAAATAAAGTATCTTTTTTTTTTTTTTTAGTGTTTTAAATAAAGGATTTTTTGACTCAAATTCACAAAACGTTTGATAAAATTATGTTGAAATTTGGGGAAGGGTGGGGGGAACACAATTTTTGGATTTGCTCGCCCCCCCCCCCTTCCCCCCATCCTCTGCATGGCATTGCTTGTAAGAAATAACAAATAATCGGGGCAGAAATATTCTCCTCGCCTCAATCCACAAGCCAAACTTGCTACACCTAGTGATAGCTTTGACCTATGGTCACTAGACCTTTCACTAAGTGCCATCGACATGACCAGGAAAGCTGAGCACCTTGTCCACACCAACAATCTTCTTTCTCCTACATTTTTGTGTCGTGACGTGAGTCCAATGAATGCCAATAGAAAGAAAAAGCAACCTAAGACTACAGCTATCAATGACAGCCAATGTGGCAAGTTTCCATTACAACAGCTTGTCTGGCATGTTTTTTTTACAATCTCAAAATTAGTTAGAATCGTGTGAGATATTTTTTGCCCGTGAAAAGTATACGGTATCGCTTTTCTTTGCATAATGTATCGTTTTTTTTTCTCGGGAGACGCATTTCTCAATGAGTTTTTTCTTTGCCCGTGTGTATTAAAGAAACTTAATGTTTGAGTGTGCGTAATACTAAATACCAGTGTGTCTCACATGTTCAAATTGATCTTCTAAACAAGTGGGGCTAAACCTGGGGCGTCTGAGATAAGATGAGATACGACGAGATAAGATGAGATAAGGTAAGCTAAGACGAGATAAGTTAAGATCAGATACGATAAGATAAACAAGAAAATATATAATAAGATCAGATAAGATAAGATATGAGATAATATGAGACAAGATGAGATAGATAAGATACGGTAATATATTATAAGATGAGATAAGGTAATATAAAATAAAATGAGATGATATAATATGAGATAAGATGAGAAGAGAGAAGATTATATCTGAGGTATATGAGATAAGATGATATATTATAAGATGAGATAAGATAAGATGAGATTAGATACTTTTATTGATCTAAATAAATGGACATTAGTTTGAGAATCGTTGCTCGAGGTTTTTGTTGTTCCTTAAACATTGTCTGTAGCAAGACTGAGGGAGTGTTGTGAGAGGGAGAGAGGGTTGTGAGAGGGAGGGTTGTGAGAGGGAGGGAGTGTTGTGAGAGGGAGGGTTGTGAGAGGCAGGGGGGTTGTGAGAGGGGGAGGGAGGGTTGTTCGAATGAGGGAGGGTTGTTACCTGTAACAGGGAAATTCAGAATTGTCAGTGACCTGTAGCAAGGAGAGTCAGAATTGTCAATGACCTGTAAAAGTGAGGGTCAGAATTGTCAATGACCTGTAACAGTGACAGTCAGTAATGTCCATGGCATGTAACAAGGAAAGTCAGTATTGTCCATGGGCTGTAACAAGGA